GTACCAATGGGGTTTCACTGTACCTGATTCCTCTTGATGCACTAACATAACTTCTTTACCCAATCTGATCTTCAAATAGAGAATATGATTCTAACAGCTTTGCTTGTACATTTATCAAAAAGGCTACCCTGACTGCATTTTTGCCACTAGTCCCAGCTGAGTACATGTCCTAAAATGCCCATCTCAAAGGAGAGAGATGTGTTAAATATATCATGTGCTTCTTTCCTCCCCTCTCTCTCATCTGACCTCTACCTTTTGAACAAAAGTGAAAATGAAAGCATCCTGCAAATTCTAAAAATTGCTAAGGAAATGGAGATTGTACCAACCAACAGTTATCAAGTAAGAGTAGAAGAGTGAGACTGGGAAATTAACATAGGGCCAGAGCTAATATTTCTAGCCTATAGAAGCGCAAAGTTGGAAAAGATCTCAGAGGTCATCTAATTCATCTCCATCTTGACTCATGGTTTCCTACAAATGATTATCCACCCCTTATGAAAACCTTCAGTGATGAGAAACTCATTGCCTCCTTTTGGAGCTCCAAAGTTCTTCCTTTGTATTGACTCATTGTCTACCTCATTGTTAATCCCACCCATTGTACTTGATTCTACCTTCTGGAATAAGCAGAATAAATCTAGTTCTTCTTAGTAATAGTCTTTCATATACTTGAAAACAGTTATCAAGTGCCTCCAACTACCACCCTACCCCCAAGTCGTTCCTTCTTCAACTAATTCTCATATGTTGTTTTAAAGTCCCCACCACCCTGGTTATCCTCAGATTGTTGTACATTCTCTTCTTTGTTGTTGTTGTTCAGTCATTTTTCAGTTGTGTCTGACTCCCCGATTGGGGTTTTCCTAGCAGATACTGGAGTGGTTTGCCATTTCCTTCTCCAGTTTATTTTATAGATGTCAGGATACTGAGGCAAACACGGTTAAATTACTTGCCCAGGGTCACACAGCTAGTTAGTGTCTGAGGCCACATTTGAATTCAGGTCTTCCTGACTCCAGACTGGCACTTTATCCACTGCACCACTAGCTGCTCCTCTCTTCTTTATAGTAAAAGATCAAATATTCCATTACGATGTTCAAATTTCTTAGGGCATTAAAAAAAAAACCAAGAACTCCCCTACACTTAATTTCTCTCAGTTTGATCCACTCCACCTTCCACCTAGGACTGAAGAGTCATTTTAGATCATTAGTTGAGGGAGCCAGGGAAGAGGGTCAGTTTAGCTTTTAAAGTGCTTCATTTGATCAACTAAGTGTTCATTCATATGCCATTTTGTGAGTGGACATAAGAAGCAGAGCTGGGATTTCCTAAGGGAGAGGACTCCTGGTTTCATGGGTCATGTCTGCAGACACCAATTAACCATCTATATTTAGAAACAAAAAACCCTGTATTGCAGTAGTGTTAGCAGGCATTCTTCTGGGTTTTTTTTTTCCTTCTGGTTCCTAACTTAAAGACAGATCTACCCAATGAGCCTCTGTGAAAGTAACACAACTAGGACCCAGGCATGAATCATACAACCCAGACTAGAGACAGGATTTTGTTGTTGTTACAGACAGAAAGAAGTTGCTGAGATACCAGAGGAAGAATGTGTTAGTATAGGCTAGTCCACTGGTGGGTGCCACCTAACCTCATGTTATTGAAAGTCTGGTGGTATTGGAAACAAAAGATCTAGGTTCCCAGGCCACCTCTCTATTTTGTTTTAGTAGTATGACTTGGTCACACCCATTCAGTTCACTGCCAGCCTCAGTTTCCTTATCTGTAGGATGAGGATAATACCTGTAATACCTACCTCACAGAGTTATCATAAGTTTCAGATGAGATAACAATGTAAAAGTGTTTCATATAAATGAAAACTACTATTAATTATGGAGAGGCAGTATAGTGTAATTATTAAAGAGCCAGCCCTGGAGTCTGGAATCTTGCCTCTGCCAATGAGCCTGGCCCCCAGACAACTCTCTAAAACTCTCTAAGCTGCAAAGCAGGTTCCCACCTGCATTGATAGAGTTTCCTCATTGGGAATTTCATTTGGAAAAGGAAATCCCATGTCTGATTTTTTTAAATCAATATTATTATTGAGGGGTGAAATGGCATGCTACCATGCCTCTTCATATCTCATGACTTTCCTTTCTCTTTTCCTCTCCATCATTCTCTTCTGTCTCCTGTCTTTCTTTCCTTTCTTTGATTATTTTCTTTCATTCCTTTATAATCTCCTGTACCTAAGGCACAGTGCATTCAATGGCACCTTCAAATATTCATAACTAGCAGAAAATGACCAAGAATACACCATTTGACCAATGGCCTACAAAGAAATCTGCACTTCACTCTTCCACCCCAGAATTAATACATTTAAAGCTAGAGTCCTTAGGGCTTGTAACACTGGCACCATTCTGGTGCTTGGTCATGACTAACACTTTTATTTTTAATTATTTCATATATTTTTGCTTTGTCTTCCTAACACGTTTGTGACTCGAGCTCCATGAAGGCAGGAACTTATGATTATCTTGCATTCTACATAGTTCCCTGCATACTACAAGGTACTTGGTAATTTTTCTGCTCCCATGCTGTTGGTTGGGAAATTTAGAATATAAATTTCTTGAGGGTAGGAACTCTTAGCATACTTGCACACAGTGGTTATTTTTTAAATTTTGTTCATTTGAATTGAATTATTCACATCTCTCTTTAAATCTGGAAGGCCCTCCCTTTACCTTCTCTCTCCATCTCTGCCTATTAAAATCTTACCCATTTTTCAAGGTTCACTTTAAATACTACCTCCACCACGAAGCCTTCCTTGATTCTACCACAACTGAAAATGATATCTCCCTTCTCAAAATTATCATTTCACCTTATTTGTATGTAGAATGAATTTATCATTTTCTATTTCACATAATAGTGACTGCCATGACACAGACATAGAAGATAGAGAACTGGCAATGAAATAGAGGTGTGCTAGTGAATGTTTAATAACAGGCTTTGGGAGGAGGGGGGTGATATTGACAGAGCACACTTTTAAGTTTAATCTGTGTTATTAACATTATCTCTATTATTTTCTTAAGTTCAGCCTAAACAATAAATAAAACATTCATTCAATCCCTGATTTTTAGCACTTGTTGATTTCCAAGGTTAAGCCTATATGAGCTGACTCCAGCTCACCCTTTCTTTAACGCCAGCAAGACCTGGGTTCAAGCCCCGTATCTGACATACAGGCTGTGAGACCTTGGGCAAGTCACTTAACTTCTCAATATCATAATTCGCCAAGACTCTAAGTTACAGAAAAGGTGTCGACCTACATCAGAGGAAGTTTCTATTCTAGTAATCCCCTATATCAATGAAGCCACAACGCTAGTCTCTAGTCCTGTTATGTGTGATTGTTATTCATATATAGGTCTCTTACCTCCTACAGATATTTATAACTTCCTTGAGGAAAAGATCATATTTTACTTATCTTTGTATCTCCTACCACCTAGCACACATATCTTTAATATGTTTCTTGAATTGAATGAATAGTATGACCAATAAATACTTACTGAATTGAATATCCCTAAAGCGTTTGAATAGGAATGCCCTGAAAGAGGAACTGCCCCAACTCTAATTGATTTTTTATAGCATATCAGTCACCAAACTGGGAGAGGGTTTGTCCCCAGAAGTCCTTCATCTGAGTGCAAAACTAATGGACTGGTTCTCTGACATGTGTTCTTTGAAGACTCTTTACCTAGAATTCAGAATACCCCAAAATAGCTATGGTTCTCAGTGTGACATAAACCTGGATATGGTTGCTTATTTTGTCTTCCAGATATTTACTTGGCTGGCTATATACCAAGCCAATTGACTCAGGGCCAAAGAAAATTAGGGGAATTAAACATTTTATTAATGTTTCAAACCCTGATTCCCTGTGCTTGTATTGTTTCTTTAGAATCATGCTATCATGGGAAAAGCAGTTCAGTAAGTTCCTTTTGCAAGCCAAAGGATTTGCTTTCAGATCCTGAATATGCCACTTAGCTTTGTGACCTTGGGCAAGTCACTTCTCCAATGAAGACCTCAATTTCCTAAAATGAGGAGAGTTAGGCTAGATCGGGATCCTTCACATTTTGTGCATCATGGACCCCTTTGGCAGTCTGGTAAAAGCCTGTGGGTACCTTCTCACAGAAATATTTTTTAATACTTAAAATAAAATACATAGGATTACAAAGGAAACTAAATGCTAATGAAGTTAAAGATATAACTTTTTTTCTCATCCAAGCCCGTGTACTCCCTGAAATCTATTCACAAGTCCTTTGGGAGTCTGTGAACCCCAGGTTAAAAGCCCCTGGAATAAATTGTCCCTAAGATACTTTCCAGCTCTAAATCCATAATCCTTAGAACTAAAAGTGAATTTATCTAGACCTAATGCCCACATTTTAAAAAGTATGGAAATTAAGACATTATTATTATTATTAACAATAATAATATCTAGAATTTATGTAAAGCTTTAAGAATTGCAAAGCATTTTATATGTTATCTCATTTCAGAATCACAACTCTGTGAAGTAGGCACTATTATTATCCCCATTTTACAGATGAAGAAACTGAGCTAGACAGAGGCTAACTGATTTGCCTAGGGTCATCTGCCTAGTGGTTTCTAAAGCTAGATTGGAAGTCAAGTCTTCCAAACTACATTTCTAGCTATCAACTGTACCACCTGCCTGCCTCTGACTGTCTTAAATGACTTGTGAAAATTAGCCTGATGAGAAGCTGGATCACCCAATTCCCATGACCAATTATACCTTTCCATCTCATCATTATGTAATTGTGGATTTTGGGCAACTGACACACAATATCAGATGTGTCATTACAGTGAACAGAGAAAATGTTAGAAAGGGCAGGTAAAAATATTAGAGACTGTAAAGAAAACTTTCATAGGCCTGAAAATCTGGGGTATTGATCTGGGCAGCTTGTCTGAATACCATACTTTTATCCTTATCAATCACTGATTTTGTGTTCTGTTTTGTTTTGTCTTTGTAGATTGCATCTTTGCTCAAGGACAATGACCGAATTCAATCAATCCAAACTGTCACACCCAATGATGAAGACAGTGACATCAAGAAAATTAAGAAGGTTTATGCACTTTTTCTTTATTTTTACATGTTTTGGTATCTTACCATCCCTAAATAAACCACTTAGCATTTCCAGGAATCTCCAGAGTCTCCTCATCCCCAGTACTTTATTACATCTCCAAAGACCACATCTCCCCTAAAAAAAGCCATTCACCCTCATCTTTTCAGTGCCCTCTTTGGTTCCCAACCGTTGGATATGTTTTTTAAAAACCATAAAATCATAGAAGCCCAACATACCTTGAATTTCTTTTTTTAATTAATCCACTTATTTTTTACACTCCTCTTTACCTTCACCCAATTAAAAAAAATAAATAAAACCTTCATGGCAAATAAGCACATCAAATAAAATGTTTTACATGTCCAAAAATGTATGTCTTATTCTCTACCTTGAATCCATCCTCCATCAGCCAAGCTTTGGGTAGTCAGTTTATAAAGTTCTTTCCTCATAAGTAAATAATACAAATATTAATGGCCCCATTTTACAGATCAAGAACCCTACTTAGTCGACTAATCCAGGATCAAACAGTTGGTGTGAGAATTATATGTTATAGATTCGGAAAAGAACAGTCAGGAAATCCTCAAAATAATAGGGTATTTATTTACCCAATGACTGATGACTCCTCGAATTTTTTCTACTTTGTAATGGGTGGAATGAGGAAGAGCACCAATGACGAGCCCATAGCTACATACAGTGAAGAAAATAGTATAGAACGGTGGAAAGAATCCTCCCTAGTGTTAGAGTCAGAGAACCTATGTTCAAATCTCACCTCTGTCCTATCTTAAGCAAGTCACTTAACTTCTCTGGGCCTCAGTTTCCTTATCTATAAAATGAAGGGATTGTACTAGATGGCCTCTGAGGTCCTTTCTGGCTCTAAATCTGTGATCTTATGATTATAGGAGTTTTCCTGAACTGCTCTGTGGAAGTCCTTTCCATACTGAGAAAAATATGCTCCTTTGGGACAGAATCATAACACATATTAGTCCATATAATAGAACCGGGAGGAATTTCAGCATCATCCACATGATGCTATTGTTTTACAGGTGAGAGGGATCTAAGGCCAGAGAAAGGTGAAATAACTTGCCTGAAGTTGCTCAGTGAATTAGTTGCTGTTCAGTCACATTTCAGTTATGTCCGACTCTTCGTGACCCCATTTGGGGTTTTCTTGGGAGGGATACTGGAGTGGTTTGCCATTTCCTTCTTCAACTCATTTTACAGATGAGGAAACTGAGGCAAACAGGGTTAAGTGACTTGCCCAGGGTCACACAGCTATTAAGTGTCTGAGGCCAGATTTGAACTGAGGAAGAGGAGTCTTCCCAACTCCAGGCCCAGCACTGAGTGGCAGAGCTAAAGCTAAAATCCAGCTTTCCTGACTTAGTTCAGGGCTCTTTCTGCTACACCACTGAAACATATGAAAACAGGGGCAGGTAGGGGGTGGGAGGAAGACATTCTTCAAATGTTCCTGTATGTGAATTAATTTTTTTCCCTGGTTCTTGCTAAAATTAGCCAGCAAAAAGGAATCAGACGACAGACATCAGAGTTAAATATTCCTGCTCATTTCCCTGTAGAATCAGTAGGCAGAAGTTCAAGATCTGCATGTACTCAATTTCATCTGAGGAGTCCCAAGGATGAGATTAAGGCAATCTGCCTTATCTTTTCTAATTGGATAACTCCTCATCATCGTGATGAATATTAATTACAACCTTCTGGGTCTTTGAGACTGTCACCCTATTTTTCACTACTTCCTTCTTATTGCAGCCAGAATGGGATATCCCCAATCTTAGTCTGTATTTCCATGTCTAGTGGATACTCCTTTCTCAATTCCACCTGTTGAAAGCCTTTTTGGTCAAGGAAGGCCTAGCTCTGGTGTCCTCTTCCCCCATGATGCCTTCTCTGATTCCCTTTTCTGAAAGTGATATCTTCTACCTCAGTCAAGATCTTTCCTTTAGCCCATCACAATCTATCATACTTCTCATACTTGTGACAATTTATCATACTCATCTGTGTATATATTGTATCTCCCTTATTAGTCATAAGTTCCGTCAGAGTGGAGAACATCATTTTTTTCATCTTTTTTTTCTAATTCTCATCACCTAGCAGGATTCCTACATGTATTTGGCACTGAATGTTTGTTGAGTGAACAAAATATAGTGCCATCTTTCCATATACATAATGGAGGAGGGAAAAAATAAAAATCCTCTTTTTCACAGGTGCAAAGCTTTTTGCGGGGCTGGCTCTGCCGGAGAAAATGGAAGACAATTATTCAGGACTATATCCGGTCACCTCATGCTGACAGCATGCGGAAAAGAAACCAAGTGGTATTTAGCATGCTTGAGGCAGAAGCTGAATATGTCCAGCAACTGCACATCTTGGTCAATAACTTCCTCCGTCCCTTGAGGATGGCTGCCAGCTCAAAAAAGCCTCCTATTACACATGATGATGTCAGCAGCATCTTTCTAAATAGGTGAGTGTTCTTTTTGGAGGGAGAAGCTTTCAGCAAGGAGCTCCTGGTTTTTTTCCAATCAACAACTGCAGTAAAATGGGGACTCTGCTGAAATTTGGTTTTTAACTACAGACACACACACACATACACACACACACACACACACACACACACAAAAGAGTTGGTTAAGCAGACTGATCATATAAAGAAAGTTAACAGTAAGGAGGAGGAGTGTTTCAGATAATTAGGAAAACAGATTCCTTTCAAACAAACATTCCTTCAATTAGCTAACAAATTATTCAATATAAACAATTTGTATGGAATATAAACAGAGACAATTCCTACCTATTCATGAATGTATAACATTATACCCTATGCATACTTAGAAAAAATAAAATTGTGTTTATTTTTAAATATTCCATAATTCAGGCTTTTCAATTCAAACTTACCCTTCCCAAAGTTGTTATAAATTATTATTCCATAATGCTGTATAATCATGGTTCTCCTCCTACTTTCCTGTTTCCTCTCTGTCCCCTTCCATGACTACTATTCTTTCTCTCACTAAATATGAAGATACCTCAAGGTCTAACCTCAATCCTCTTCTCTTCTCTGTCCACACTCTCTCATTTGGTGATTGCTTCAATTATTATTTTTATACAGATCACGTTAAGATTTGTATCTTCAGCCTAACCCTCAGTGCCACATTTCCAACTCTCTTGTTGTACATCTCCACCTGAACTCTCCGGTCTAAAACTAACCAACTCATCTTCTTCCCTTTACTTAACTCTTCTACTTTGTTTCTATCTATTTAATGGTACTTGTCATCTACTCCCTTGTATCACACTTATTCTATATGTGGCCTTTGTCTCATACAAAATGATAACCATTCTGAGGGCAGACTGTCATTCATCTGTGTATACCCTGAAGTGCCTGTAACAGTACCTTTTATATATAAGACAGTCAATGAATATTTGTATGAATGAATGAACAAATTCATCCCAAGGCTACACATAGTATTTCAATACAGTGGGATCTTATGAGAGCTCACCTCTAGTGGTGTTGGTGTTGGTGCAAGGCACAGGGAAATAGGAGAAAGAAGAAAAATATTCCTTTCATTCTGCTATGAATACAGTTATATATAATAAGACCTTGGAGTGATAGAATACTTTTCTTCCAACATATTTCCATGCAGTTCCATGAGTTCCATGGCACATGCTCTGAAAGGCATTGGCAAAGTCAAATCTGGTGGCTTGCCTTATCGATTGCAAAACACCCAGGTGGCCACCACAAGGCTCAACCCATTGCAAACAGGCAGAAATCACAATGTAGGACACTGAACCCAGTCAGTAGCAGAGCACAGCCTGAGCTGACTAATGACTGTCATCCAAGTAGATAGAATGCCCACAGCAACATTGAAGTACTGCTCTTTCCAGTAATGAGGGATACTTTAGCACCAGGAAAATCTGAAATGTGATCATGCTGTTTATATCTCTACTGAGCTGGCTCCCTCCTGTCCTGTTCCCACCAGCATGGCTTGAACATGCTTCAGAGAATCATCAATATAGTTCACATATAAGCCTATAGGATAACTTGATGAGGAAATTAAGGAAATGGGCACCCTTTATATTACAATAATGTAATGTAATCTAATGCTACAAATACTAATTAAGTGTATACTATGTACGGAAGCTGGGGACAGTACTAAGTCTGAATAAAATGTGGTTCCAAGGAGGTTACTATCAAATAGGGAGAGGGAAAAATATGGCATCCACGTAGATAAGTAAAATATACATTACAAAATGAATGTTTCAGAGCCTCACAAAACAAAGCACTTTGTGCAATCCAAAGGGGAGGGCCATGACTGACCAGGGAAACCAGGTAAAGAATTCTGGAGAAGAAACTGTTTGAGTTGAACTTTATAGATGGATAGGAATTCCAAAAAATAAAGAAGATGGAGGAGGACATCCCAGGTGTAAGGATGAACCTTACCAAAGGCTGGAAGACCAGAGAGACACATTCAACAGAGAGTTGTCTGGTTTGGTTGGAGCATTAAATGCGTGAAGGGAAATTATATGAGATAAGACTGGATGGTGGGGGGGGTCTTCAGGTTAGGAAAGGCTGTGAATGTCAGGCTGAGTTGTAGCTTTACTTGATAGTTTGTTCTTTAGCTTCCTACCTTCATGTGACTGTTTTGCCCAAACCTGAATTGAATAAGAGTTTAAATGTCTGGATGGCGGAAGGAGAAAATGTAAAAGGCGGGTAAGGAGAGGGTGGGAAGGAAAAGGACTATGAAACTGGAAACCCCTTAGTATGTTGTTTTCGAGTATTGCTCTGCCTACCCAAAAATGAAATACCTGTGATGCTCAGGCAGGACAAAGGGTAAACTGATTTTTAGCTGGCATATGGTAATGGGCTTAGCCTTTATTCAGAGAACACTTCCATTGAGAAATCCAGATGGACTTATAAGCAATTAGTTTCACCCTGGAATTTTCTTCCCAACCTGTTATAAAAACTCACATATGCCTTTCGTCGGGTCTCAGAGACCTCCAGAAAAGGGGTTCCAGGCCTTTTCCTTGCACACTGTGCAATAGATTCAGTGAAAAAGTAAGAAGGTGTAGTGTTCTTGGACCAAATAGGTCAGGATAGTAGTATTTCCTAAATGCTGCTATGTCATGGTTCATTTCTCAAAGCGCTACTTGTCGCTACAGGGAGTGGGAGGTGGGGGGCAATCAGCCAAGATTACAAATGTCTTCCAAGGCATCCCCAGAATGTTTAGAGCCCTGAGAGTGTGGGAATCTGAAATATTAGCCCTGCAGGTCACACTGTGACCCTGATGTTTGTAATTCCACCTCATTGTCTAACTGTTCTACCCCTCCAGCCAACACCCTCCACTTCATTAATACTTTCCCTCTACTATCATCATTTCATTTTCCTCCATAAATAACTTTTATTTATGACTTTCTAAACAACAAAATCATTTCCCCATATGCCTCTCCCCCAAAACCTCTCTTGTAATAAAGAAATATGTAAGTAAATTCCAACTCACAAATCAAATGCTTCTGAAAATATATGCAACATTCCTCATCCACCTCTTTAGCAAGACTGGAGAGACATGTTTCCTTCTCTTTCCTCTAGATCCAGGATGGATTATTGCAGTTCATCTGAATTCAGCAGCATTTTAGTGTTGGTTTTGTTTACATTACAGTAGTAATTGTGCATTCTTTTAGTTCTGTTTGCTTCACTCTCCATCTATACAAGTCTTCCTATGATTATCTCAATTCCTTTCATTTGTTATTTTTTTTACATACAATAATGTTACATTATATTTCTATACTTCATCCTCAGTCATTTTCCCCTAATTGGTATTATTTCTGAAAGCTCCCTCTACCAGAATCAAAATTCCCAATCAGGATAAGATTTGACAAGCTTTTTTTTTTTTATTTTGGTAAGGCAGTTGGGGTTAAATGACTTGCCCACGGTCACATAGCTAGTAAGCATCAAGTGTCTAAGGCTGGATTTGAACTCAGGTCTTCCTGACTCCAGGGCCAGTGCTCTATCCACTGCTCTTCCTAGCTGCCCTTTGACAAGCATTTATTAAGCGCCCATTATAAGCCAGGCACACTGAATGAACGGAAACATCTATTAAGTATTTGCTATATGCAAAGCACTCTGCTGAGGGCTAGGAATATGAAAGGAGCTCACATTCTAATGGGGGAGACAACCCACACGGAAGATTTTAGTTTCAAGTCAAATGGAAAAGTCTCATGTTCAATGAGGAAAGAGGAAAAGCAGGTGTCAATGCTTCTTTTTTAATGGTATTTCCACTGATAAAATGATATTATTTCTGATATCAAACCATTGAAGGGTTCCAAGGATTTTTGTGGCAAGAATTTTTTTGCTGGGTCTTCAATAGATGTGGCTGTAGCACCTGTAGGAGCAATTGACAGGCTTCCTCTGCACAGGATGATGTCTGAGAGCACTGGGCTGGAAGCATTGAGATTCCCAGGGCTCTTGGGTTCAGGGTCCTGGGCTGTCCCCATCAGAGTCCGAGGGGAGATGGTGGTCATGTTGGTGGTAGTGGTGGTTTGTCTTGTCTGGCACATGCTGCCCCTAGGTAGGCTGGCTTACCTGTCCTATGTGGCAATTGGTTGGTAGTTGGCGGGAAGGACTGGCCCTTTCTCTACAAGAGTTGTTTTCCCAACTGATGGCTGAGCCACGAGCAGGACTGGTGGTTAGGGGGGTGCTACCATTCCCAAGGCTCCCATGCCAATTTGCCTATTGGTGGCAGCACCACATGAGAGGCATATAAAGTAAAAAATGAAACAGCCTCTGCCCTCATGCAGCTTCCATGTGGGGACCGCAGGAGACAAAGGAAAGGAAACATGTGCCCAGATAAGTAAGTATAAGCTAAGTACAAAGTAAATGCAAAGTAATTTTGGAGGAGGAAGTCGGAGAGCACTCACAACTGGTACACACGGGAAAAACCTTGTGTGAGAAGTAACACATGAGCTTAGCCCCTCAGGGTTCCAGGGATTCCAAGAGGCACAAATGGTAAAGGAGAGCATTCTGAGCATGTGGAACAGGCTGCCCAAAACTGAGGAGGAGGAGGAAAAGGAAATGTCGTATACAGGGATTAGCAAATAGACTAGTATGGATGGAGCATAAGAGTGTGGAGTGAGTAGAAGGAATAGAAAATCAGCCTGGAAAGCTAGGTTGTGAAGGGCTTAAAATGTCAAATAAAGGAGCATATATTTTATCCTAAAGACAATAGAGAGCCATGGAAGCTTCTTGAGGAGAAGAATGACACTTTAGGAAAACTCTAATTGTTTGGAAGTTTTTCTTAACCACATCAAGACAAATTTCAATTTTTTGCAACTTCCCACCTATTTGCAGAATATCCCCCTCCCCAAAACTCAGTCCTTCCAAAACCATAGCATCACAGCCAACCAGTCCTGCCAGAGGCCCCCAAACATCCTCTACAAGGGGCTGTTCCTCGCCATGATAAGGGCCACCCCACCCCC